CGGGGGCCTGCTCCTCCTCCCGCGCGCTTTCGAAGACCCAGGTGACTAATTGGGAATTAACCGTTCTGATTTTGCCGCTTTGCGTGGTGCTAATCCCAGGACCCTGCAGGAACTGGAAGAAGACGCCGGGGTGCAAAGCTGGGTGGCAGCTGCCCCCGCGACGGTCCTTCGGTGGTGCCACCGGCCCTGAACCTTGTGCCACGACAGCTTTGGTGGTCCTGCCGACCCCGCGCCTTCCGCGATGGCAGCGTTGCCCGCCTCGTGCCTTCTGCCTCGGTGGCCCTGCCACCAACTCATGAGGAAGCTCCTCGGTGACACCAGAAACCGAGTCCTGAGCGTGTTAACAACAACCGTGGGAAGGGCCAGCGGATCCGGGTCCTGTGGGACACCCCTGGCAGGGGCTTTCTGCCCTTCCTCTCCCCGGTTTTTGGCTCTGTGGCCACCTCTCCTCTCTTTCCGTTTTTCGTACGCGTTCCTCCAGGTTGACGCCTGCGCTCTCTAACGTCATAGAGGAAATGTAACACTAATCCCCACAACTGGCTTCATCCTCAGCAAAAAAACAAAACAAAACCCAAACAAAAAAAACCAAAATAAAGGCCTTGCTACGCTACGGCCACACGGCGTGGCCACCCTGGTCCTTCAAAACTCTTTGTTGCCTCCAGCTTGACTGTTTAAGTCAACGGCTTTCGTTTCATGGGTTACAGCCGAATAAATGTGGAATGAAAAAACAGAGCTGACGCCACAAGAGCACCCATGGGTGGCCCCAGCAGATGCTGAGTGGCCTCGTAGCACCCTAATTCCAGTGGGAACCCCGTTGTGGCTCTGCTGGGGTAGGTCTCACGCCCAGGCAATGGACAGTTTTATCAAAACAGGGGTTAAAAAAAGTTGTTGCACGGGACGAGGGAAAAAAAAAACCACAACTAAAACCTGCTCAGAGCAAATCTTCTCCAAGATCACTTTCTCTGATCTTGCCCGAATTTATAACAAAGAGAGGAAATCCTTTGCCCTGAGCTTGGAAAACGTCCAGAGCCCAAATCGAAGCACAGAGAGGGAGGGGAAAAGGAAAAAATCCCCCCCACGAGCTGTACCTGCCCAGCCCCAGGCCCCAGCCCTGCAGCTGAGATCTTGTTTATATCTTTGCAATACACCTTGAGGTGCAAAAAAATTAATTTTATATATTAAAAGAGCTTTACGAAGCATGGCTTGATGGTCTCATTTCTTAAAAAAAACAAAAATCAGGCTTGAGCTTTCTGGTGTGATGCTCCAGTGGTGGTGGGGGCGAGGAAACTCCAGGAAAACAAGCAGTTGGCTAAGGAAAACTTTTTTTTTTTTTAGAGCAGAAGTGCCAGAGATACAAAAGCCCCAACCCTGAGCAGAGATTGTCCTGAGTTCTCAGGAGAGAAGGAGATCCCCTGTTGCTTTCAAGCAGAACAGTCGCAGCTTCTCCTTGTAGGTGAGATGCTCCAAGGCCCTTCTTCATCTTCAGGGCCCTCTGTTGGGTTCTTTTCATCCTTCTCGCAGTGGGGAGCTCAAAACTGGATCCAGTTTCTCCAGCGCCAAGCAGAGGGGAAGGATCCCTTCCCTTGACCTGTTCCAGCACAGCCCAGGACGTCGTTCGCCTGGAACGGGGAATCTGGGCAGCCCAGAACAGCTTCCCCCTGCCGGGCTTAACGGCAGAGAACCCCTAATTCACAAATTGAAGTTACTTAACTTGAGCAATACCAGTTGCCACCCAGAAACTCTAAAACCTTGTAACAAGCAGGGCAGAAAATCCAAGAGTGCTCATTTTTTTTGGCCATTTTCATCCTCAGAACTCTCTTACCAAGACCAAACCGCTCAGCAAAGACATCACTTTGGGCACAGAGTCTCGGAAGCGGATGCAAAGATGGGAGAGTAAGAGCTAAAAGGGAGGTTAAAACACCCGGTCATGTAGCGCCAGCAAAGACTTCGCCAAAAAGAAGAAGCGCAATGAGCTCGAGCCCTTGTCTGCTCCATCTTTCTTCCAGTTTTGTTCTTAGAAAAAGAAAAAATACTTATTTTTAAAGCGGATTTGCAGCCCAAAAATGTCCAATCTTGTGGTTGGAAAGAAGGGACGGTGGGTAAAAGTGCCAGAGGATTAGTGCTGGGTAAGGAAAGTGCAGACAGTTGTGAGACCTCACCCAAAACCCTCGTCCTGACTCATCTCTTAACCCCACGGGCACATCTCGCGCCTCCCGGTTTTCTCTCTTCCCACAAAGGGCGACGCCCGGCTTTTCTTGCGCTCTTTGCAAACCTGAGGATCACTGCTCCCCTGTTTTGGTTTAGATGCTGGCCCTCAGCTTTGGGTGGAAGGTGGGGGAGCAAGAAAAGGACGTTGGGGAAGGACTCGGAGGGAGGGCAGAGCACCTGGGGTGGGGAAGGGGGGTGGAAAAGGGAAGGCAGGAAATGAGAATGAATTGGAGCGTGGAAATTTTCCGGTGGAAATCCAAACTCTCACTCAGTAAGGCCAGAAGCAGGATTTAACAAACCCAGATGTGGAGAGCTCGAGATGAGATGCTGGAAGAGGTAAGATGAGGCGGAAGCGGGTGCTTGGTCCACCCAGACTTGGCTGCTTTCGCTGCGTTGGATCCCAGCTCCCGTTTCTGACGTGTCGCCGCTCCTCTGCATCAGCCCGAGGTGGTGTCACTTGTAGAGTGCCATCTTCTTGCTCTGGTACATGTACATGTAGGCGTCGCAGAAGAGGCGTTTGGCCACTCCGTCCATGTCCCGAGGCTGCTCCAGGGCCAGCACAGCCAGCGGCAAGTCCAGGTATTTGGCAACTTCAGGGCACAGCGTTACGGCAGGAATGTTGAAACCGTTTTCATCCCCTAACCCAGAAAAAGAAAAAAAGGAGAAAAGTCCAAACCACTCGCCCAGAGATGAGTACCTACAGCTCAAGGAGACACCGTCACACTCGACAGCGACGCAGCAGCTCAGCCGACAGAGCTGGAGGCCAACGACGAAGCGGGGAAGGTTGGAGAACACCAACAAAGTGAGGAAGGAGCAGGAGGAAGGTCCTTGCCCACGTGGTGGCCAGTCCCTTGTCTGAAGGCAGCAAGAAGACGAAAGCCCTGGGAGCAACAAAGC